CTGCATTCCAGCATAAGAACCTTATCCCATCTGTGAAACATGGTGGTGGTAGTATCATGGTTTGGGCCTCTTTTGCTGCATCTGGTCCAGGATGGCTTGCCATCATTGATGAAACAATGAATTCTGAATTATACCAGCAAATTCTGAAGGAAAATGTCAGGACATCTGTCCGAGAACTGAATCTCAAGAGAAAGTGGGTCATGCAGCAAGACAACGACCCCAAGCACACAAGTCATTCTACCAAAGAATGATTAAAGGAGGACAAAGTTAATGTTTTGGAATGACTGAGTCAAATTCCAGACCTTAATCCAATTGAAATTTTGTGGAAGGACCTGAAGCAAGCAGTTCATAGGAGGAAACCCACCAACATCACAGAGTTGAAGTGGTTCTGTACTGAGGAATGGGCTAAAATTCCTACAAGCCGTTGTGCAGGACTGATCAGCAGTTACAAGACACGTTACTTGCAGTTATTGCTGCAAAAGGGGGTCACACCAGATACTGAAAGCAAAGATTCACAAATATTTAAAACCGGATAATTTTTCTCAATAAATAAATGACAAAGTATATATTTTTGTCTACTTTGTTTGGTTGGATTCTCTTTGTCTACTTTCAGGATTTGTGTGAAAATCTAATTATGTTAGATGTATGTACAGAAAATTCTAAAGGGTTCACAAACTTTCAAGCAGAACTGTATATGCACATACAGTTTAAATATATATATATACATACTTTTCTCCATTTTGATATATATATTTGATATATATATATAATCGATTACCATCAAAATGCTGAAAAATTCTGATATGTATGTTCTATGCTCATTTCCCAGTAACCATGCCAATTTTTTCCAGACACTCGTTCACACACACATAATCGGACACCCTATGGCATTGATGGACTTGTTCCAGTGTGACCAGGGGCACAGCTTTGAAGGCTAGCGTTACCCTGCGGAGTCGTTTCTCCCCCACCCCCCTCAGTTCCCTGGTGCAGTTGACTGCTAGAGAACTCAACGGGCCAGGGCAGTGCCACGGATCATTACCTCGCTCTCCACCCCCGGGGCACAGGCAGGAGGCACAAACAGCAGGCATTGATATGTGTATTAGCAGATTGTACGTCAAATGTGCAGCAATGCGCTAATAAGAACAAAATACTCAGGGCACTCGCCGCTGCCCCCTGCTGGGCAGGATGGATCACAATGTGGTTGGATTGAGTTAGTGCTGAATCCAATTAAACAGAACGTTTGTGCCAATGCCACAAGGAAGTTATGATTCGGTGCACTAGGCAGCACTGTTGCCAATGCGGTGCTAACGTTCGCTGTCACTTTCAGTCAGTCACTGCTGGCATTAGAAACACAGCCAAATGTTGGTAGCTATGCTAACACTCATGGCTCTTTTGTTTTGGCCCTTCACAGTGTTTAAAACGTGGCCCTTTTTTGTGCCCGGGCCCCTGTTCTGTTCAAGGGGAAACTTATTCTGCTATTTTCGTCATTAGCTTTGATGGCAAAGCGAAACTGTTAAATGGTAGGAAGGGTTGAGGAAGAGGAAGTGCTTGAAGGATGTGGATGAGTGTAGGTATGTCATTGACACATATTTAAATAATATCCATTGTCATATGTTTCTGTATCATCGCGCTTCATCTACGGCAAAAGAGTTGTCTGGCTCTGACAGGTGAATGGAGGGTTTTGATTGTGTTTGTTTTTCGGGCTATTTGACGTATTTGCTCAAAAGCGAGCAATTGAGCAGATAGACTGCAGTATTTTGTAGTCTATCACGGTCTTTTATAGAGGACGTCTGGACTGGTCATCCTTAAACTCAACCCTGACCTCAGACCAGAACCTCCCCCGCACCTTAACAACAGCGACATTCACAGTCTCTAAAGCAATCATCTGATTCATAGAAACAAATAGAGGTGATGCCCTGACTTCAGAGTGTATCATATTGAATGTGTGTTTGTTTGTGTTTTCAGAGCACTGTGGTTGTGGAGAAGTCCATTCAGGATTTAATGAGTCTGATGCTGGACCTCAGTGCGTACTCCAACCAGTTCCTGGAGATGGTTTGTGACAAGCTCAAAGAGTACAAAGAGATCTGCAATGCTGCATACAGGTAATAATACTGTGACACACTAAATTATTTTTTTAACTGTGTGAATGTGAGTGTGTTGTCTGTATTTAATGTGATTCAATAAAAAGTACATGTACTGCAGTATAATAGCAATAAATGTCTTATTGTTGAATTGTCCAGGTGGGCTGCATGCAAAAAGAACATACATCGTGGCCAGTCCGATGTGTGACCAAATGACTCTTATGAAGTGAATCAAAAACATACAGCATGACCAGTGTAGTCTCATTCTTGAACGAATGTCTCTTATGAAGTGGTTCTTGGTGAATCAAAAACATATAGCTCGACCAGTGTTGTCTGGTTCCTGAACGAATGACTCTTATGAGGCATTTCTGATTAGTGAATCAAAAACACACAGCATGGCCGGTGTAGACAGATTCATGAATGAATGACTCTTATTAGCTGTTTCTTTTAATGAATAGTGCAAAAATATTAGTTTGAATTAGTCTGGCAGGTGGAGCATTTCTCTCTAATGCTAATTAATTTTATTAAGAACATTAACTAACATTTATAAATTACATAATGCCTCAAATCATTAATTAATGTTCATTAAAATAGTTAGAAATGTCTTTAAAATGAAGAAAATTCTGTCTACTCCCTGCAGTACCTTCACAGATCCCCTGGGAGTCCATGGATTTTCGAAAACCTTGGTATTAGAAACATCGGATGATTGGTCGGCTCATGTGTTTAAGTGAAGTGTGTGTGTGTGTGCGTATGTCTGTCTGTGTCCGCTCACATATGTGTAAGTCAGCAGGGGTCTGAACTGAGCTCAATCATGGGTAGAAAGTGCAGAGGCAGCCATTTCCTTGCACAATAATCACATGCTACCAATCTGTCTCTCTCTTTGTCTCCTTCTCTGTCGTTCTTTTGTTATCTCCCTCTTTCTCATCCATAAGATGAGTGAAACGCTCTGCATTACGTTCTACATGATCTGTTTAATCAATCTACACATCGCAGACAATAACAGTTCATTCATCTGTGCTCTCGTCTGCTTCTCTGTATCACCCAAACTCTTCTGTGGAACCTTGTTCAACTGTCATCCAGTGCACATCCGCTTATGCAATACTGAAGACATTTATCTGAACTTACGGTTCATTTTCATATTTTGGCACTTTTTGAGACGTGAAGTGAAATGGAACTTGTCCAATCCCTGAGCCAATCATAGAGTTTGTTCTTATTTTAGCTTTTTATGCAGTGTTTCATCACACTTTATGATAACTTCCATTTACAAGTCATTAACAACATCATTATATAGTACTTAGTGAATCATTAGATAATGAACATTTAAATGTGTGAAAATATATTTAATAGTATTTTTAGCTATTGCAGTGTACATTAAAGGGATAGTTCACCCAAAAATGAAAATTTGATGTTTATCTGCTTACCTCCAGGGC